TATATATATATAATTCATCTTAAAAATAAAAATATATAAAGATCTTATCATAAGAATATTGTTGTGAAATGCTTTATTTTTATAATTATATCAAAGAAATTTGATGATAAAAAATTGAAGTGTAAAAGCAGCAATGATCCATTCTAAATTATTCCAATCTATAAATTAATTTGGCTGGGCAACAGCGGTCGATGACGACCCTGTGGCTATTCTAATGCAGGCCGCCTTCCGTTGTTTCCTCGACCTCGACGTCACCGTCGTCAAAGCCAACCGACCGCCTCTCGTGGTACCACTCTCCGTCGCTAGTTCAGTATCATCGTTCCTTTCCTCTCCTGGGCGAAATATGAGTTTGGTGAATGTATTTTGTGATTGAGGAGTATGAGAACCAAAGGCTCATAAGTTCGTTAGGTTTCTTCTATCTTTAAAGGTACTTTTTGGAGCTCACATGCTTTAAAAGAACAAAACCGTACGAGTACACCCATCATCGAAAGCAAATAATTCCTCGCGAGCCTACAGGCTATACTAATGACCGATTGACCAAAGGAGGGTACAAGGCCTATATCTCGACTGAGCAAACTCGCTCCCAAATCGTATACTTTGATTATGAGCCGTTGGCTCCCCTACGAGATCGTCATCCGTGAATGCTTTACATTCACCTGCCCATGTCTGTGCGGTGGACTTTGGTTTTGGAGTTATCTCTAAACGTGCGTGGTGTTATCTCTAAATGGCTCGAAGGAAAAGCTTTGAAGCAAAAGAAGAACGCCCTCTAAATGCAAATAAACAGAGGGTTGTAAAAATTATCGATCGGATCCATTCCGAGCAACTAAGAAGCCATCAAATAAGTACAAACACGGTCAACTAAATTACTTGCTTTGGTCAGACCGCGATGCGAATCATTATCAGCTTAAACGCCAGCACGTCCTTTAATGATCAATATCAATCTGGGTAACGCTGACACAAATCGAAACACAAACTTCCACTCAAGTAAACACATCGAAAACTAAGCTTCTTGGATCTCTCTTTCACCATCATAATCCACAAGATCGGATGGGATGATCCTGTCGGCATTACGATCGTATTTACGTCTTTCGTCGCCTGCACTACTCTTCAGCGGCCTAAAGAAAGTACGGGAATTGGAACCAAAGGATAGACGAGAGGTCGATTAAAGATTACATAATGGTGCATGGATCTGGCGGCGGCCCCTCCTCGTAGACAAACTTGTAGCCATGGAAACATGGATTCGGCGGCGGGCTTGGCTTGGAGCAGCAGTGCTCCGATGGGCAAGCCCTGGGAGGGCAATACGACGGGCAGGGGTTGGGCGGTGGAACACAGACCGGCCCTCGAACGCAGCACATCCAACCACAGGAGCAGCACCGGCGGCAGCCATGGGTTTGCTCAAAGCAAGGGCAGGGCTTGTAGCAGCAGGACGGCCATGGCTTGCCGCAGCAAACAAGTTTCGTTTCCTTCGGCGGGCTAGGCTTGGGCTCTGGAGCGCAGAATGGCGCGACAGCGCAGCACATCCAACCACAGAAGCAGCACCGGCGACAGCCTTTGCTTGGCTCGAAACAAGGGCATGGCCGGAAGCAGCAGTCTGGCCACGGCTTGAAGCAGCAGATAATCTTGACAGGCTCTTTGGGTTCCTTTGTGGGTTTCGGCGGGGGCGGCGGTGGGTCATCCGGCTTGATCTTGATATCTTTCGCCACCTTGCACAGCTTGCAAAGCAGCTTCTTCTTAAGACACTCGGGATTGAAGGGGCCGGAGATGGTGACCTTGTTATCCTTCTCGTTGTAATTGATGGACAGGATTCTCTCTCGAACTCAACGTAGAAAATTCCATGACAAAGGACATCGCAGCATCATCAGTAACCTCTCAGTCCATATACACCATCTAATACAACAGCACGCACAAGGGGTTGCTGCTTGCTTACCTTGGAGCTTGCAAAGAAGCTTTTGGATCTTTTTGTAACAACATGAGCATCCGATATCTGCTTCTATGATCAAGGTGGAGACCTGACAGTAAATGCAAGCGAACACAAACCATAAGACGATCTCACAACTCCGAAGACCGAGAAATATGATGTACAAAACTGAACACGCACAACACATTAGAAGGAAAAGAAGAAGCTGAATGGAGTGGTCAGGAATTTGATCACCTTCTCCGTCATTGCTTCGATGCTCTTCGAGTTCTGAGACTTGAGAAAGAGAGCTCGGGGAAGGAAGGTTGTGGCTTGGCTTCCTCTAACAAGCGTGCAGTATAAGTATACATAGTTTGCAAGATAGTATAAAAGGGTGGTTGGATTATTGACATGAGTCTGACATCAACAACTCCACGAGAGTAGACCTGCAGAGCCAAAACAATTTTCAAAGATCTACAATCAAGAATATAACATAAAATATATTTAATATGATCCGATAACTTATTCACGAGAAAAAAAAAAATCAAATTTTCATCATATAAGATCAATTCTAAAACACTTCTCAAACATACTTATATTATATATGCTTTTATATAAATAAATAAATAATATATATTTTTATTTTCTCTCTTTGGAAACATCCTCTCTAGCCAGCTTAGAGAAAATACAAAAAGCATCCTAATTATTATTCATGTATTTCTCTCCCTTACTAAAGCCTAGAGATCTATAAAACTGCCTCCCACACAAAACTTTTTACGGAGTAGATGATGAAGGTCTACATGTGGACAACTGTGTAGTATTGGGAATCTTGGAGTATATATATGCATGCAAGAGGTACGTAGCGTGGCATGGCGAATCTTGAGTTTTGTTAATGACCGCTTAAAGACGAATGTGATTGAACATGTTCTCAAACTTGCTGTCATGGTAACTAAAAAACCATTAGAAATTGTGTCACCAACGTGGTTTGATACAGATCGGTGCTGCTCTCCATAGTTATCGTATCTGATTGGATATCGATCACGTTAAATCTCATATTATCGATTTACAAACCATTGGTGTAATATTTCTTGTTAGTCCTATATTAAAAATTGATAATGATAAAATTGATTTATAAGGGTCTGATCGATTCATTATTATCTAACTCAATTTAAATATTTTGATTAGTGATTTAAGTTAAATAAAATTGATAGATCAGTTGGACTCGAGTTATAACATTGATTCGAATATAAAAGAGCTACTCATGAATGGACTGATATTCACCTCACCTGATAGAATCTAAAATTTATTTTGAAAAATAAATAAAATGATAATTATAATCAAGAGTGCCAATTGATAAATCGAATTGGCTAAGGTTCTACTTCCTATTTTTTGTGGTGGAGATGTGTTATATTATATGTTGACGGTATTAGGTTGTTGACGTGTGTCTTCAATAGGTTATCAATTATTAAGTCTCTGTATAAAATATTACAAATATATATGAAAAATAAATATAATCTATAGTAGATGTAAGATAAT